GCTCCCACAGTTGATTTATTCAAACCAAGCTGCTTACCTATTGCAGATTCAGTCTTCCCAGCCTGGTGCAGGTCTACAATTTTTATTTCTGGTGTCCTTTGACAGCTCTTTGGTCTTGGCCATAGTGGAGTTTGGAGTGTGACTGTTTGAGGTTGTGGACAGGTGTCTTTTATACTGATAACAAGTTCAAACAGGTGCCATTAATACAGGTAACGAGTGGAGGACAGAGGAGCCTCTTAAAGAAGAAGTTACAGGTCTGTGAGAGCCAGAAATCTTGCTTGTTTGTAGGTGACCAAATACTTATTTTCCACCATAATTTGCAAATAAATTCATTAAAAATCCTACAATGTGATTTTCTGGAGAAAAAAATTCTCAATGTCTGTCATAGTTGATGTGTACCTATGATGAAAATTACAGGCCTCTCATCTTTTTAAGTGGGAGAACTTGCACAATTGGTGGCTGACTAAATACTTTTTTCCCCCACTGTATGTGTATATATATAAAAAACATGGGGGATCGGAAGTGATGCAGACAATTACATTGATGGAAGTTACAATCTATCTGCAATATTAAGCTGATATACCCCCCCCAAAAAAAAGAAATGGTTAATTGACCACAAAAATCAACATATTTTATAGTATTTTTTGCTCATCTTTATCAAGGGTGCCAATCATTTCCGACCTATTGTATCCACAAGGTTAGGATGGGTTAAGGGAGGCCAAACCACAAGAAGACAGTAGCTTTATGCTGTTCTTCCACAGAGCGCTATCGGTACCCCTTGCATATAGCCTTTTTATAGTTATTTTTTATTGTGTTACTATTTTTCCTTTAATTTATTTAGCAAATGTCTTACTTTTTTTAAACTCTGCATTGTTGGCTAAAATTTGATTTGAACACATTGCTACTGTAAAACACTGTGTGTGAGACAATTGCCCACAGGTTAACCTCTAATCAAACTGTACCTGTAAGCGTGGACAGACAGCGGTTGACATGCAGTAGTGGAGTTGGTTATAGAAGCGTTATGGGCTGAGCAGTGAGCAGCCCTTGTGCTTTTAGCACTATACAGTCCTATCATCTCTTACTCATGTGGTTGCAATAGACTCACAAACGGTGAACTTGTTTCCACGGTGGAGTCAATTGTCTGTGTGTGCGTGACACTGCACATACAAGCAATGGCTCAAGTGTGAATGTGTGTGTGAATATGCATGCCTGAGTGTTAAGTGTCTGTGTTTTTGTGTCCGTATGTATGAATGCATGCGTTTGTGTATAGATGAGTGAAAGTGTGTGTGTCACACTGGGCTGGAATTAGAGCCCGCCACCTGCGACATTTGAACTATGACCTCTGCCCTGAGTCAGCTGATCATGACCCTGGAAAAGAGGCTTTCCACTGGCCCTCTGATAACCCAGATACGTGAACACAGGCAGAACCCGGGACTGTACACCAGCCATGTTGTACTATAGAACACTTAGCGTGTTTCAACCCCATGTTTCAAACGTTCTCTTAAAATGCAACGATGACCCGCCCTCCATACGCCCCCATTCCCGCTCTACCCCCGTCCCATTATCCCCATCCACAGCAATCACCTGACCCCCTCCTATCCTCCACCACCCATCCAAAACCTCCCCCTCTTCTTCTCCACCTCCTCAGACCAGGACACGGGAAGGGGATGCTATTGGTAAATAAACACTTGCATGACAATAGGCCCTAGCGTTGGGCTGGGCTGTGGTGGCTACCATTGTATATTTATAGGGAGGGGAGTTTATAATTCATGGCGAAGGATTACTTTGGAGTCGCTGGTCCCAGGCCTTCTCTCCTCTCCCTCTCACGCTCTCCTCCTCATCCTTGCTTCCCCCTGCTCTCCCACTACAGTAGGCTACTGACACAGAGAGTACTAACAATACTGGACATGTGCAGGACTACCGCTCTCTCCGCTGCCCACCCCCATTATAATAATATATTCAAGGATTAAAGGGGTTTTTATCTTGGAGCTCCCATGCATTATGAATGGGGAATTTCAAAATTTAATTGCCCCGAATTAAATGATTCAAGATAATGTTTCTTTTATAAATTCGTAATAGGTCCAGGGGGCAGAGAGGGGGAAAATACATTAAATAAAACTTTCCCCCCCAACAAAGGAGAAAAGAAAGAGCGAGAAAAAAAGGATTCTGACCTGGTGCCCCTGGAGGAGTATGGGCTGTTCGGAGAAGAAAGCAAGACAAGAAGAGAGTGGGAGGAAGAGAGAGAGCGAGAAAGAAAGAACAAGGCTGTACACGAATAGCAGGTGAGAAATTAGATTAACTTTAATCTGTGGTGTTTCCATGTGGACAGTTTCATGGCTATTCTCTGTTGTCCAAAGTCTATATACTGTACATCACAACCTCCTGTCACTATCACACAGGACAGGAAAAAACCCAAACTACTGCATATGGTGAGTTGGACTGATCCCAGATCTGTATGTTGTACAGTGTAAGAAGTATTGTACCAACTCAATTTTTCACTATACTTACACTGCATTTAGGGTAAGGGTTAGGGTAGTCTCGCGGGTCCATCCTTCCAAATCTCGTCTTGTTGACAGAATGTGAGAAGCCTGGGCTTCCGAGGCTAGGGTTACTGCCATGTACAGTAACAATGAATAATTTCAACAGTTACACTGTACTTACAATAATAATCATACAGTCACGAGAACCCTGTAAAGTAAAATTTTACCACCAACTATCAATGTCAGAGGTGTTAGCTAAAGCACAGAGTACAGATCTGGGACCAGGCTATAAGGTAGCCTGAGTGCCAGTCTGTTTGTTCCATCATGCCAACTCCTTGTCACTCATTGGCTTGACAATGACAGCAATGGAGCTGGCAAGAACACAAACAGATGTGGCACCAGGCTAAAAGGTGAGCTGGTGAGGACTTTGTCCATTGTGGCTGGATATAACAAGGTGCTGTGAATTGATTGGAGAGTGCGATTGGTTAAAGCAGTATGTAGATTCTCAGTAACTGTACACTACACTAACTGGAAACATAGTCTTTAGAGAAGCAGCAGGTAAAGACTGGTAGAGAATCATACAAATGACAAGTAGTAGTCCATGAGGAGTCAATCAAAATACAGGAACAAACCAGTCCATGATGCCGAGATTGAGTGTGACAAAGCAAAATATGCAGCAGAAAACATGGTGATACTTCAACAAAGTAAAAAGGTAGAAAACTAGCTCCTTTATAGTTGCATTATACAGTAGAATAGACTCAGAACAACTTCCATTTTGAGGTTGGTAACAGCATCAACAGATAAATGAATTAGAATAAGCAGTGCTAGCTAACACTTTGGAGTAAGGCTAAAATAAACTGGTGGTGCATGGTCTCTTAAAATGGCCGTTCATATCCACCATCCATCGCGTGGGGGAGAAGAGTAGACAGACACCAATGTTCAGAATTAGCTCCCTGTGCCGACATGAACCGCTGTATGCTAACAGATGAAATTACAATAACAGCTACAGTACTGGAGTTAAGGGGTTATTTAGGAGCATAGGCATCTAACACAGAGAGCTAACTCCACATCATCATGTTTCACCGCAATTAAAATGTTAATACAAAACCAAACTAAGCTGAAAATACAGAGCAGACGTCACACAAATAAAAACCATACGTTGAAAATTAGCGACTGGATCAGAGACCGCTTTATTAACGTTTTGTTTGTCTCGTTTCTGGAGGAAGGAGGAGTAACAGAAAAGATGACTGTTTCAGGCTGTCTAACAACAAAACCATAATCTAAGTGAAATGAGCAGATGTCCTTTGTGTGAATCACATCTTGTCATGTCTTGCTGATGAAGGTTTGAATTCGTCACCATTCTGACTTATGGCTTTCTCATAATATGGACTAGCATTAGTCATATTCTTCATCAAAACAGCAACTCATCCTTGGGTGATTATATTGCAAGTTGAAGAGCTGAGGTACATTTATAATAACGTTTTTAATTTAAAACTTTAAATTATTTAAAGTTTTCAAAAACGACCCAAATCACCTGCTTTTAGTCATCTAATTTTGCTCAACAAAACACACATATCCTTTCCATCACATTTCAAATGGTACTTCATACTCTGAGTAAAGACATAAAATACTGATTGTTCCCAGAAGAAATGCACAGGACTTTTTGTGCGGCATTTTGTGTCTGCAGTTTCCTTCAGTTGTATTTAAAATGCTATTGAGTAAAACCAGGAAGTGCAGCTGTTTGAAGCTGGTGTACAAAACCGAAAGTAAAAGACGCAAAAACAAAACTTAAGAACGGGACGCATAGAAATAGCGCACATAGAACAGATATACCGCTTCTTAGAATTACTTTCAATGAAAATGACAGATCTATAATTCACATTTCTATGTGAATTTGGTCAGGTCTCCCAAAAAGTTATATATTGCAGCTTTAAGATAAACTACAGTAATAAACTGACTGAGGGGTAAGGGGTAAAGGGTTAGGATGAGATTTTGGCTTGCTGGAGACAAAATTAAATTAAAATCTATTTTCTGTCCCACCTACAGTAGTGGAAGTGAAACCAGCGCCATCCCCGCCATTGTTACTCCCTACCATTCTCTCACAGCTTGTATGTCAATAAACTCAATGTAAACCAGTAAAGCACTGTTCAAACCTCAAAAACAAAAAACCTGTTTTCATAAAAATGACAAACTTCTAATGCTCAGATAGAAGGCCGATGGGAGAGACACACTGACTGGCAGTGTGTATGCAGTCTGCAGCGGTTGGTAGGTAGGAAGGCACCAATAACAAAGCTATGGAACGAGGGACGAACCAACGAAATGGACAGATAGTGAAATGTTCGACCATTTAAAAATTCAAATTCTGTTTAGTTTTTTCTTAATTCTTAGCTCCTTTATTTCTGAGTCACTTTAGAGAGACAAAAATAAATAAATAGAAAAGGGCTGCTGTGGCTGGCTGACTGACAGACTGCTGCTCTTCTTCTTCTGCAATAAGGGTTAGCTAGATGATGATTCCATCTATTCGCTGTTGACTTTGGGCTCGTCTCCAGTTCGTTCTGCACTCAGGTCCACGTCCACTTCCAGTGAGGGAGAAGCAGTAGCCTTGTCTCCGTTCTCTGTTTGGCCTTCCTGTTCCTGGGTGGCTGCTGGAACAGCAGTGTCTGGCGTGGTGGAGTTAGCATCCACACTATCCTCCTCCTGAATCGGGCTAGCGTCTCCACCAACCTCCAGGACTGGGCTAGTGTCCTCAGTCAGGCTAGCGTCCGTACCATTCCCGTTGACCACCACCTTCCCACCATCCCCGTTGACTATGAGGGGGGCTAGATCCCTGGCTGCGCCCCCCTGTCCCAGCTGCTGTACCTGAGCCAACACCTGCTCCACCGCTGCCTGGTCATCTCCCTCCTCGTCCTCTAGTTTCCTCAGGATGATGGGCAGCTTGGCGTCGGCCTCTGCGTTCTCCAGCAGGGCGATGTCGCTCTCCTCATAGCGGGGCAGCGGAGCGCCCTCCTCCTGCTGCTGCTGGAAGTGCAGGCGTTTGGCCCTGCCGCTGGCCACCACCCTCTCCAGGATCTGCTTCTCAGCCAGGCGCAGCTGGATGGCCACCTGGGAGTGGAGGGAGAGACCGGGCTTCTCCAATGCACACTGGTCATCCTGGAGGACAGGGAGGTGGGGCGACATTGGGCAGAAGGTAAGGGAGTGAGGTAGAGGGGAAGGGAGTGAGGTAGAGTATAAGGGAGTGAGGTAGAGTGTAAGAGAGTGAGGTAGAGGGTAAGGGAGTGAGGTAGAGGGTAAGGGAGTGAGGTAGAGGGTAAGGGAGTGAGGTAGAGGGTAAGGGAGTGAGGTAGAGGGTAAGGGAGTGAGGTAGAGGTGTAGGGCGTGAGGTAGTTAGAGGGTAAGGGAGTGAGGTAGAGGGTAAGGGAGTGAGAGAGGGTAAGGGAGTGAGGTAGAGGGTAAGGGAGTGAGGTAGAGTGTAAGGGAGTGAGGTAGAGTGGAAGGGAGGGGGAGACCGAAAGTGGGTCAGCAGAGAGAGAAAATAAAACAATATGGTGGGGGAAGTCAAAGAGCCTTGTTGTCCTTACTGACCTGGGAGCTGGTCTTGTAGGTCTTGAGCAGCAAGGCAGCCCTGGTCTCCAGGAAAGTCCACAGTTTGATCTCATTGTCCCAGCTCACAGGGAACTCAGTGTTACCCAGGGTGAAGATCTTATTGATGGCGTGTTCTCCTACCAGGTAGTCCTTCAGCTCCTCTGTGGAGAATAGGGGTTAAATGGCAGTGAACCAGAACGTCAGGACCAATAGGATTACGCAGAGGAAAAAACACAACTACAACATCCAGGTCAATTCAGAGGGCCTGGTCTTTAGAGCTAAACAGGTACAAATTGTTTTTTTTAAAAGACGTCAATTAAGTTTGGTGACATTAATTAACCTAACTCTGATGTTCAAGGTTTTAAGTTAAAGGGCTGTTATTCTACAGGCCGAGTCCCTAGGTAGACTAGTTAAACCGGTAGCCAACTGCTGCCTTCGCAATCTGTCTTTTGATCTGAGCTATTATGTAAGGCTGGATTACACTGGAGAGGGAGACATGAAATGATCGGAGGTTGAGTGCTTAATGTGTTCACACGTTACACACACACACACACACATGCCTGAGTCACATCTGTAAAAAAGTTATACCACCCCGCTCCGACCCCCACGGGAGGGGGCTAGGGCCATGTAAAAAATTTAGCGAGAGAGAAAGAGCCAATGTGAATAGTATATCTGTGGGGCCTGAGGTAGAGGAGGCCTGGCTCCTACAGTAGCTGTAGTATGCTAGCCAGACCTGGGTTCAAATACCATTTCAAATCTTTCAAATACTTTGAGCATTTGCTTTAGCCTGCCTGGATTGCCAGTTGGCAACTTTTCCACTGCAACGGGTAAGCTCGATCAAGTAAAGTATTTTAAATAATTTCACTTCTAAGTATCACTCCTAACTCCTAACGACTGGCCTTGTGACCGTGTGGGGATCGATGCAAGCATTTAGGCTTGCGTGTGTGTCTTACCCTCAGTCATACAGAAGACTCTGAGGAAGGCCAATAGCTGGGCAGAGATTGGAGGATCACTGCAGTGCAGGGCAAAGATACTGGACCTGATGGGGGTGGGGGGGGGGGGGGGGGGGAGAAAAAGTGAAAAACAGAGACCGTACAGTCACAACAACTTCTCTATTTCACATTACACACACATATCACCTCTTAGTTAAACCTACACCAGTAAACATTATAACCTTCCCTGTAGTTGATCAGGCTCTGTTAGATCTTCAATCTGCCTTTATTGCCCTGCAGAAAGCCTTTGAAGTGAAATTGGTAATTAATGCAGGTAAAACCAGTTACATGTTATTTTCCAAATCAGATGATTTATGCATACGTACTTTGAAAGGTGCCCTCATTGATGGTGTCCCCATCTATAAATATCTGGGCGTCTGGATTGAGGAAAAGCTCTCTTTCATAAAGCATGTTGACGAGTTAGTTTAAAAAAATTATGAAGAATTCAAATTGGTTTCTTCTATAGGAACAGGTCCCGTCTTTCGTTAAATAGCAGAAAACGAATTATTCAGTCAATATTCATTCCGGTTATTGACTATGCCATTGGACACAGTTTATCATAGCGCATTCTGCTTTATTACAGGGCGATAGGTTCAGTACACATCTTTGCATTTTGTATCAGAATGTGGGCTGGCCGTCGATGTCTAGTAGATCGATGCATTGCACTCTTTTTGTCTATAAAGCCCTCTTGCATAAACTTCCACCATCTTACCTCATTGTTAACCTATAGAAGTGTGGAATGATCTACAATGTACTTTAAAATTGAAGGAGTTTGTGCCTCTAGGGCATTTCGGACGGTTATTAGGGGACCTTTTACTGATTGGTTTATGATTGTATTTTGCTTTTCATGTACTGTTGTTATAATAATATATTTTAATGTGTATATGAATGTGTAGTTTAATGTGTATTTTTATATGTATATGAATGTGTAGTTTAATGTGTATATGAATGTGTAGTTTAATGTGTTTATTGTATTGTGATGTGTATTGTGATGTGTATTGTGGTGCTATACAGGGCTCATCTGGAAAAAGAGACCTTTGTCTCAGCATTGACTCCCTGTCAAAATAAAGGTTAAATAAAGAAAAAATTGCACGCCTCACATAGAAGAAAAAACCTTCCACAGTGATCCCTGTATGACTTTAACCATATAAAACCCTGATCTGTAGGTTAAACTCAGTGAAGGGGCTTGGCAGGTACAGTTTGTGTTAATGGAGGTTAGTGGCCCATGGCTAACTCAGGTCTCCACTACACTACACTCATGTTTAGTTTAGCAGCCACTGGTCCATGGTTAACCGAGACCCACTCACGTTTAGCATCAGCTGACTCATTTAAGCTGAGTGGAGGCCAAACCCTGATCCCCCTGATGCATCTTTAATATACACTTAATCAATTACAACAAGATCTTTCATTACCACGGGATATACCTGGGGGGGGGGGGGGGGGGGGGAAGAAGGAAAAGAGAGAGAGAGAGAGAGAGAGAGAGAGAGAGAGAGAGAGAGAGAGAGAGAGAGAGAGAGAGAGAGAGAGAGAGAAGAAAAAAAAGAAGCAGTGGGGAAAGAGAGATTGCTTCTTATTCTGAGGGAAAAAGAGAGCGAGAAGAGAGGCGAGGGAGACCACTACACCAGGGGTGGGCAGGCTGGTGGGCCGGTGTGGGTGCAGGCTTCTGTTCCAGGATAAAACATTGCAGCGTCGTCTCAGAATAGGCCTCTATACCATGAGGGAAGCTTTCTACCCCCCCCCGCCCTGACGCTCCCATCATTTTATCATTACCCTAATATTATGCAGCCTTCCCTCCCTGTCATATTAATAAGAGCGCTTTTAATCTCTTATTGATGGGGCATTTTAAGTCTCACAGTGGAAATGAGATTAAAGACTGTGTGTTGTGTTGTTGCTGTCAGGGGCTCTATTGTTAAACTGACAGATATAGTGATGTATAGTGTTCAAAGGCACAGAGGCAACGGTACACTGCCTGTCTGTCGCCCATACATACACTGGGATATATGAAAGGAGTTTTGAACCACAGAGAGCTCTGGTCAAAAGTAGTGCAGCATTAAGGAATGTTAACCCTGTTCCTGAAAATGCCTAAAGGCAGGTAGCACTCCAGGAACATGGTTGGCCAGCCCTGGAATAGGGTGTCATTTGTGATGGAACCTTCACGTCACAGTGTAGCTTGTTTTCACAGTAAATTCTCCTCTCCTGTATGTACTGTTGTTATAGCGATGGGCAGAGAGAAGGAATGTAATAGTAATGCTACTAGACTTGAGAAAGACTCAGTAATGTGTTTGCAGTGTAATAATGTCCTGCCGATTGTCACATTGATCAAGTCACTGAAATTCTGGAAAATATTGCCCTCCTGAAATTACCTCAGTCTCTGACATAATGGAGAGATATCATTTGTTTTCTCTCGCACTACCCCTCTTTCTCCCTCCCACTGTCCCTCCCTCCCTACTTATGGGGATGCCCGTGTGTATGTATGTTTGTGTGTATGTGTGTGTGCGTCTCTACTTACGAGGGGATGCCAGCGCGGGCCAGCACCTCAGCCTTCATGGCGTACAGCCGTTCACTCTTGGACACGCCCAGTTTGATCTTGACCCTGTCGTGTGCGTTCTCCTGGAAGAAGAAGCCGTTGTGGATCACAAACTCAGCGTTGGACCGCGTCCCGTAGAATATGTAAATCTGAGGACAGACAAGAGAACAGTCACTCAACATTAAAGTGGAAGTTCAGTATTTTACAACTTAATGTTAGATTGTTTATCTCCCTGAAAACAAGTGTATGGGCCAGGAGAAACTGTAAAACATGGTTTGGTTTTCTAAAAAAACAGCCACTACAACCTTTTTTTACTGGATGGTAGCTAAAGTTAGCTGAACTTCCCCTTTATCATCCGATTGGAACTCAACCTCTAGAAGGTTCCTGTAGATTGTAATGGGTTGGATCATTTGGATGTAAACAATGTGGTGAACATTCCACCCACTATTCCTATGTACCATTTTGCCTCATAACCATGTTATCATTTCTGATCTAGTGGAAGCTTCACATGGGCACAGAGAATCCCCACACCACTCCACTCACGTATGGCTCCAACATATTACATCCACATTTACAGATAGCAGAACGGAACGAGTGTGAGAGGTAAAAAAGGAGAGCGAGAGACAGGGCAGGGGATAGAGAGGAGGAGTGATAAAGCTTAGTTGGGAATGTAGCTTAGTGGTTTGTGTCTCTGTGAGCTCAGGCAGGTTCTATGTCCAAAATGGCACCCTATTCCCTATGTAGTGCACTACTTTTTACCAGGGACCATAGTGCTCTGGTCAAAAGTAGTACACTAGATGGGGAATAGGGTGCTATTTCAGACACACCCTCTGTGAGCTCAGGGCACTTCGGCCGGACGGTGATATCTGCCGGAGGAATCATAGGATCAAGAGGCTCGACTTCCCATCACCCCCCTCTCAACCACCCCCACTCACACACACACACACATTGCTGTCTCTCTAAATCTTATCAAATAATTCCCATTCTGAAAAGAGAGAGGTGGGGATGGGGAGGAGGAGGAGGAGAGGGAGCCGTAGAGGTTGGTGGCGTTCCGATTCTCCACCCCTCTCCCAAAGCATGGATTTAACAACTGTGGAAACTCCCTCCAGGCAATAAGTCTGACTCCCAGCCTGACCCTCTCTCTCTCTCCCTGACATAACATCAACACTGGACACCAGTCAGTCATCCAGTCAGGAACCAACCACCTTTCAATTGATATACACATACATGATGCAATTAGATCATACACTTCTACATAACCCATAATAACTCAACATTATGTACAGGACAAATATGTAAAGTAGGTAAGCCTTTTTCAAGCCAGTAAGGCAGGATCCCATCTCCTGTTTCTGTAGCGTGAGGCAGCTTGATGTACACCCCACCCCCAGACAGGACACTAGTTTTGTCTAGTAGCTAAAGAGCAAACGATGCAGTAGTTTCATGCTGCCCAGACTCACCTGGTCGTTCTCTTTGTAGTCCTGCAGAGCCACACACTCACACCTGTCATCCTCCAGGTTGTAACCAGTGGTGATCTGCGCAACACACAACAGGCAAACTGTAATTGATCCATTCACTGATTGATTAATGACAGTTGGAAAAGCTCATGGAAGCATTTTACATTCATATTTTAGTCATCTTATCCAGAGCGACTTACAGGAGCAATTAGGGTAAAGTGCCTTGCACAAGGGCACATCAACAGATTTATTTTCACCTAGTCAGCTCGGGGATTTTAACCAGAGACCTTTCGGTTACTGGCCCAACGCTCTTGGTTTTATAATATGGACTGGTTCAAATCAAACTTTATTTAAAGTGCATTTAAAAACGCAACACACTTTACAGTAAAACATTTTATGTAGTTATAGTTCGGAGCAGCACAGTGAATTGTCTGCGCTCCTTTACTGACTGACTGGCGATACAATTTACAGCAAGTTTATTTTATATAGTGTACGTGACCAGCTAAACTAACAAATGTACAATATTTTTTCTCTCCTAGTATTAGAAGAGCTGAATATCAAATCATCCATTCCTTTGGTAACAATCTCAAGGGACTAATGAACAAAATCAGCAAGCAAATGTATTTCAAAACATGAATGTATTAGTTTAGTATACGTAATCAATGAGTATATCAATACAAATAATTCCCTCATCCGGAGTTAGTGAGAGCTTTACAAATAGGCAGAAATTAAGGAAATTGAATGAACCCAAACAATTTCTCACCAGTGAGTAACACTGTAGCAACTAGGGCTGAAGAAGAGCAATAAAATGTGGAAATATGTCGGAGGAAGTTGTAACCCATTTTTATTAAACTAAAACCAAGGGAATACACAGGAAGACATTTTATTACATGTCTTTAATGACTCGCTTTGTCTACGTATCGGGCTTTCACAAATCAAATCACATTTAAGGGGCGTAGATGCAGTTTACATGCATACGCAAGGAGGAGATGATATTGCTCCGTTACAATCAGTCGCTGAACACAATCAAAGCCAAATGATTGCGATAAATAAAAGAGCCCATGAGATAAGAGTAATCAACTGAGGAAAACACATCACACTGTGTGGTTTCTCTCAAATCTAGAATTCTCTACAGCAGATTTCTTGACTGTGTGTGTGTGTCGATTTATTTACAAAAAAGCTAGGATTTTAAGATTCCTAAAACATTTTATTTTATAAATTAAAACCTCTCGCACAGTGGGTGGAGGATGTTCGTGTGCAGTTGTGTAATAGGCACGTTTCAGCCATGCAATAGGCACGTTTCAGCCATGCAATAGGCACGTTTCAGCCATGCAATAGGCACGTAATAAGTGTATAATAGCGTGTTTGTAGTACTCACCAGGCCGTTGGTATGGTTACACATGTCCCAGAGAGGGATTAGGGCGAGGGTGACGCGGCTACCGTCCTCTGTAGGGATCTGGTTCTGACGGGTCATCACTGAGGAAACCGCCCATCTATAGGGGTCAAAGGTCACGGTCAGCCAATTATCAAATCAGCAACAAAACTCACTTTCCTGGACTAACCAATCACAACAAGTGCCCTGTGTTTTTCCTGACTAGTTGTTAGTTATAGCCTCACGTGGTCGGGACATCAGTCCTACTCATAACCTTGGCTTTAGTAACAGTTGAAGTATGCAAAACTAACTGCTTGTTCTAGTGACCACGGCTGTGGATGGTACAGTAGGCGATTGTTCAAAAATATCATCTTGATTATTAATTGAACACTAGGGCATCCAATAAATATAAATCTGTGATCTTGTTATAATGATGTTGAGGCATGAATTATTATTCTAAACGACATTCTAAAGTGGGCTAACAGTAGTTCCTCCAAAAAGCCTTGGCGCCACGGTGACAAGACAACAACACACGCCGTCCCAGCTCCGTCATTCCCACAACACATTGCCCGGCGGGAGCAGAGGATTGCATCACATTCAACACAATGGGAAGATAAAGAGGCCGACGACAAATGATTCCCTCAAAGATAACGGAAGAACAAGGAGAACAAACACTCCGTTTTAACAGGCCATCCTGGATGCCGGCAGTAGTTCTACATTCTCCGGACATGCACACACACAAACACACACACACACAAAGGGGGGTGGAGGGCAAGCGTTTCAAAAGCAGGCCAACGCGCACACACACCAACCTGTAGTCGTCAAACGTAAAGGCGTCCTTCAAGGGCAGTTTACTGGTGGTCGGATGAGTCTGGAAATGAAAGGTTAGGAGAGAAAAAGGAAAGAAAAGAAAGGACAGATGGAGGGAGGGAGAAAAGAGAGTAACAAAATGTAATATTAAATCAGTGTGTGGAATTTCATTATGCGGCAGATACATGAAAGTGTGTTAGCGGTGTGTGTAAATGTGTGTGAGGGGTGTGTGTTATTGAGCGCTGTGTGTGTTAGCGTGTGTCTATTAAAGTCGTGTGTGTGTTAGCACGCACTTTTGTGTGTGTTTGTGTGTGTGTGCGTGCATGTGTTAGCGTCCATGGTGCAAGCAAGGATCAGGATGGCGTTAGCCCCCCATACATCACTGTCAACTTAATTTGTTGTGCCCAGCAGCCGTCATAAATCTGCTTCATCAATTTGGGTGACAGAGAGCCACCAGTGACACAGAAATCTACATTTAAAGCCACACACTGGACGCCTCCAAGGGCTCATTTACAACCGAGCAGGAGCTAGAGGGCGGGAGGACTAGCACACTACACACCTAGAAAGATACAGATGGGGGAGACAGAGAGAGAAAGAGTGAGGAGAGAGAGGGCAGAAGGAGAGCAGAGAGAGTGAGAGCAGAGAGAGCAGAGAGAGAGAGCAGATAGAGAGGAGAGAGAGAGGAGAGAGAGAGAGAGAGAGAGAGAGAGAGAGAGAGAGAGCCAGAGAGAGAGCAGAGAGAGAGCAGAGAGAGAGCAGAGAGAGAGCAGAGAGAGCAGAGAGAGAGCAGAGAGAGAGAGCAGAGAGAGAGCAGAGCACCAGGGTCTAATAACTGCGCTTCCTGAAGCCCTTTATTTATCTAGGCAAGTCAGTTAAGAACAAATTCTTAGTTACAATGACTGCCTTCCCCGGCCAAACACGGACGACGCTGGGCCAATTGTGCGCCGCCCTATGGGACTCCCAATCACATCCGGAATGTGATACAGCCTGGAATCGAACCAGGGTCTGTAGTGACGCCTCTAGCACTGAGATGCTGCGCCACTCGGGAGCTGCAGTAAAAATAGACTACAGTTCAGTAGGAACCCAGAGTAAGACAGCTAAGGCTCTCTCTTTGTTACACACATAACCACCTCATTGTGTCTGTGTGGTGGTTGGTCGTTAATACAACACGTCTGTCTGATCATCTTGTTTACCCATCTGTCTCTTCAAAGTAGTATTTCATTGATTATAATAGGGAGTGTTGAGTGAGTTGACACAGGCTAGGCCTGTGGTGGTAAAGGTAAGAGTGGTCACATCATATTTCTCCCACAGGGTGGATGGCTGGTGTGGCAGGGTGGGTGTGTGTGTGTAATAGACACAGTCCGGCAGTGACACTGATTCATCCCTACAGTAAAGTGAGGAAAATCACGCTCACTGGGCCACATGACACGCACTGTCCAACCCTAACCTACCCCCCTCACCACACAGACACTGTACCTCAAATAAACCTAAAGTTCAATAGAAGTTGCTACTTTAACTCTTAGACACTCAGATGACGGTTGACAGGGTGTCCCCAAACATTGAGGAAGGGGGACGGGATTATACCCCAGCACCCTCCCTCCCTCCCCCCCACCCTGGTTATGACAGAGGTAGCGGTATGGAGGAGCAGTGTTGAGCCTCGTCCTGCTCTGACAGCCATTAAAAGATAAGAGTCTAGCCTCGCGGATGGATCCTAGCGGAGAGGAGGGGTGTCGTTGTGACGTCGAGCCCAGCAGCCAGACCTGATCCCAGGCTGGGCCCTGCCTGCTGCCTGCCTGTGGACGTGACATGGAAAGGCAGGAGGGGAAGAGGAGAAGCACACATTGATCGGGCGCTGCACTGTCGCTGTCGCTGTGCCAACCTGTGTATTTACATGTATAGTCTTTCGAAGGGGTTGGGATCAAAACAGAAGAAATTGTAGCAGATATTTTTCTTCTAGATTTTTGCCTTAGTTACCAGAATGGTAAATCCTGACCATTGTGAATAAAAAAAAAATTACAGTCTGCACTGAAGAACCCTTTTTCCGCCATATACAGAGATACATCCCACACAGTGAGGGGAGTCCATCTTTCTCATTTGACTAGTCAGAGAGTGAGGGAAGGTTAGACAGACGGATACCTGGAGCGCCTCAGAGAGGAAGGGGAAGGTAAACGACACCACTGGGACACTAAACCATTTCTCATCACACCACACACACACTCCAAGGTTACTTTGCATTCGCTGCATACTGAGGTCACCTTATGAGGTCCGCACACGCACACACAAAATTACAAAACACACACACAGTCCCACTGGAAGGGAGTGGCACTCTGCTATGCTTCAGATGGCCTCCTACACTTGAGACATGTAGCGAGACACATGTAGAACTGACTGACTGACAGTGTGTGTGTGTGTGTGTGTGTGTGTGTGTGTGTAGGGATCACAAGGAGGGGGGCTGGGATGGACTGGACAGGGAGGGAGAGAATTTTTTATTATTTTTTGTCAGTCTCCAAGCCACTCAACATGTACGGAAGGTACAATCAGGTCAATTCAATTCAAAGCCAATGCGACAAGCTAATTTTCCAGCCCGGTCATCTGCGGCCGCCCACTTTAGAAAAACAGAGAGGGATGAGAGAGAGGCTGACATTGACAGTAGTCATTACACTGACACCAGCCCCCAACCTGAGCAGAGGACAGGAGAGAGGGATGAGAGGAGGAGGGGAGAGAGACAGAAGAGGGATGAGTGAGGGAAGAAGGGAGGAAAGGAGGAGTAGAGGAGCGCAACGGAGAGGGAAAGGGTGAAGAGGTGCAGGGAAGATGACAAAATAATGAAAGATGGAGCGTGGAGAGGGGGATGAGGTGAAAGGAGATGTAGTGGAGAAGAGAGGAAATGTGGGCAGGACACATACACACACCTTTCACAATCACACCCGCTTAAGAACACAGAGCTCAAGCCAACCGAGAAGGAGAGTTCACAAAGTTAGGAGTCATCTCTACACAACACCTTTTACTGTTCAACACCACGGCCATGAGGTGTCTTGGCTTCCAATACAACTCCATCACCACACAGTGGAATAATGTTAGTGATGCTGCTGTTCCAAACACTCATGTTTCATTACCATAATTAGAGTTATTTAAATGTCTTGTTTATTTTCAGTTGTTTTGTTTCCTGATGGTTGCTTATCGCAGTCTTTGGGTTTCAGCAACAGTATATAACACCTATGTACTATTATTACAACAACAACATGGGGGGGAAATAACTATGCTCATGTCATGTTATCAGTATTACATTCTACTATATTACCTTCATATCACCTTATACAACCCACCACTACCACCTAGTGGGCATTGATGGTAGTGTCTTTTCAGAGACAGGCGACCAGGTGTGTAATCATTAGTCCAAATCATAGCAAACTGTTTCCAACGTAAAACATTTTGCAATGAAAACAAGAGTTTCTAATGATCAGATTCAGTTAAATCCCTCCCTGTTTTGTTCCGTTTGCTTCCGTTTGGTTCCTAGTGACTACACTCCTGCTGTCAAGGCCACAAAACAGCACATTTCTGTCAAATAGCAACTTTATGATTCACTATTCTGCTTAATTCAGTCAATTGCATGAAAGCAAAGATTGAGAGGAAAAAGCAACTAGGGATGAGGGCGAGTACTCGATTCAAGGTTTGTATTAGATTATTAACGAGTAATTAGCAAGTGAAATGTACAGTGGGGGGAAAATGTTTTGTGCAAGTTCTCCCACTTAAAAAGATGAGAGAGGCCTGTAATTGTCATCATAGGTACACGTCAACTATGACAGACAAAATGAGAAAAAAAAATCCAGAAAATCACATTGTAGGATTTTTAATGAATTTATTTGCAAATTATGGTGGAAAATAAGTATTTGGTCACCTACAAACAAGCAAGATTTCTGGCTCTCACAGACCTGTAACTTCTTCTTTAAGAGGCTCCTCTGTCCTCCACTTGTTACCTGTATTAATGGCACCTGTTTGAACTTGTTATCAGTATAAAAGACACCTGTCCACTACCTCAAACAGTCACACTCCAAACTCCACTATGGCCAAGACCAAAGAGCTGTCAAAGGACACCAGAAACAAAATTGTAGACCTGCACCAGGCTGGGAAGACTGAATCTGCAATAGGTAAGCAGCTTGGTTTGAAGAAATCAACTGTGGGAGCAATTATTAGGAAATGGAAGACATACAAGACCACTGATAATCTCCCTCGATCTGGGGCTCCACGCAAGATCTCACCCCGTGGGGTCAAAATGATCACAAGAACGGTGAGCAAAAATCCCAGAACCAC